CGCAGGTGACGCTGGTTCTGGGGGTGCTGGAGTTGGGGGTGCTGGCACTAGCGGTGCTAGTTCTGGGGGTGCTGGAGTTGGAGGTCCTGGCACTGGCTGTACTGGTTCTGGGGGTGCTGAGTCTGAGGAGACTGACGCTGGAGACCCTGGTTCTGCGGAGTCCACCCCGCCCCCCCACCGCCACGACACGCGTCTCCAGGCTGCCCGTCGGCGTGAGCGTGAGGAGCAGGAGCGGTTGGAGAGGGAGCGGCAGGAGCTGCGGGTGCTGGACCTTCTGGAGCAGCAGCGGCAGCAGCAGCAGCAGCAGCAGCAGCAGCAGCAGCAGCAGCAGCAGCAGCAGCAGCAGCAGCAGCAGCAGCAGCAGCAGCAGCAGCAGCAGCCGCAGCCGCAGCCGCAGCCACAGCCGCAGCAGCAGCAGCAGCCGCAGCCGCAGCCGCCACCGCAGCTTCCTCTAGAGCGGCGGTTGTTCCCACCTGTGAGTGGCCTGCGGGCCCTTGGCCTTTCCTCCTCTCCTCCTGTCCGCTCCCAGTCTCCTCCTGTGTTTGTTCCTCCGTTGCCTCCTCCTGACGACCGTCCGGCGGTCTGGTCTTCTCCTCCTCCTCAGTCTCCTCCTCCCTCTGTCCGTCGCGACTTGATCACTCGTTGTCCTCCGCGTGCTCGTCACTCGTCCCCTGTTACTGACCTCCACACTGCCCTCCTTTGTTCGTCTCGTCGTCGTTCTCCTTCTCCTGTGTCCGTTCTCCCGTCTCCTCTTCCGTCCTCTCTACCTGCCCTCCCCACTCCTATCTCTGACTACTACCGCGCTGTTCGTCCTGTTGCCGCTCGTGTCCTCACCACTCTTGTCACCGACCCTCGTTTCCCTCCGTCGTCTGTCTCGGCTCTCACTGCCGCTGTCGCTGAGTTTGCTGCCGCCAGCCGCCTTGACTACGCCACCCGTGTGGTGCCAGCTCCTCCCTACCGTCCTCTGTCCGTCGGGGGTGGGTTTGCCCTTGGCTGTGACGTCCTAGAGGACAGAGAGTCTGAGCTGGAGTACTGGGCAGCCGCTTCTCCCTCTGTGTGTGCCATGCTGCTCTCCCCTGAGGGAGACCCCGACGCCCTTGACATACCGACTCCTCGCACTTACCGCGAGGCAGTGTCAGGGGCGTGGGCCTCTCAGTGGAAAGCGGCTATGGACTCAGAGTTGGCGTCTTGGAGATCCACAGGCACCTACGTCGACGCAGTTCCCCCTCCCAGGGCGAACGTAGTCGATGGCATGTGGCTCTTCAAGGTGAAGCGGCCGCCTGGAGCACCGCCGGTGTTCAAGGCGCGCTACGTGGCTAGGGGTTTCAGTCAGCGTGAGGGAGTTGACTTCTTCCAGACCTTCGCCCCGACCCCGAAGATGACTACTCTTCGGGTGTTACTCCACATAGCAGCGCAGCGAGACTACGAGCTGCACTCCCTCGACTTCTCCACTGCGTTCCTCCAGGGCCGACTGCACGAGGAGATCTGGCTGCGCCGTCCTCCTGGCTTCACTGACACCTTCCCACCTGGGACCCAGTGGAGCCTGAGGCGACCAGTCTACGGTCTCCGCCAGTCGCCCCGTGAGTGGCACGACACTCTTCGCTCCACGCTTCGTGACCTTGGGTTCAGCCCGTCCTCCGCCGACCCGTCGCTGTTTGTTCGAGCGGGTTCTACTCCTTTCTTTATCCTTGTCTACGTCGACGACTTGGTGTTTGCTACAGCAGACAGGGCAGCCCTGGCTCAGGTGAAGTCCGAACTGCAGAAGAGACACAAGTGCACTGACCTGGGTGAGCTGCAGCGCTACCTTGGCCTGCAGATCACCCGGGACAGAGCCGCTCGCACCATCACACTGACGCAGTCACACATGGTGCAGCAGGTCCTTCGGCGGTTCCACTTCCAGTTCTCCACCACACAGCCCACTCCTCTTGCTGTTGACCACAGACTCACGGGCCCCTTTCCTGACGAGCCCTTTGAGTCCAGTGGACCCTACGCAGAGCTGGTGGGCTGCCTCATGTACCTGATGACTTGTACTCGACCGGACCTCGCCTTTCCACTCAGCATCCTTTCTCGCTTTGTTGCGACTGGGAGACACCGCCCTGTCCACTGGACAGCTGCTGTGAGGGTGGCGAAGTACCTGGCGACTACATCAGGCTTGGGGCTTGTGCTTGGAGGGACTCAGCCAGTGGCGTTGACTGGTCACTGCGACTCTTCCTACGCTGACGACGTGGAGACTCAACGTTCGACTCAGGGTTACTGCTTCAGTCTGGGAGCTGGTGCTGTGTCGTGGAGGTCTACACGGTCGTCGTCTGTGGCTACTTCCAGTGCAGAGGCAGAGATCTACGCTGGTGCCATGGCGGCACAGGAGCTTCGCTGGTTGACCTTCTTGCTCGCTGACCTTGGTGAGCGGCCTCGCTCTGCACCGACCTTGTACGCTGACAACAAGGCCATGATCCTCCTGTGTCGAGAGCCTCGACTGGAGAGCAGAGTGAAGCATATTGACGTGAGGTACTTCCTCCTGCGAGAGCTGCAGCGACGCGGTCAGGCACGCCTGGACTTTGTGGCCTCAGAGGCCAACACTGCAGACGTCTTCACCAAGGCCTTGGCGCTTGGTGACCACCACAGGTTCTGTGTGCAGTTGGGGCTTGTTGAGGTAGGCCCTCGGTTGGTGTAGTCCTGTTGCTTGCTCTGCTTGTTGTGCTTTGTATTTATATCCTAGTGAACTCTTGAACTGGCCTTGTGGCCGCTTGCTTGCGCTCGGAATTTGTGTGGTGTCCTTGAGATCCACCCTGAGCTTGCCTTGGTTCTTGCTTTGACTGGTCTTGTGTGTCAGAATATTATGCTCTAGCCTGTAGTGGCATTAGAGCAGGTCCTTTCCTAGGACCTAAGAACCATGGGCCCACCATTCGCGCAGCCCGTTAGCACACCGTGTGCTGGCTGCCCCGTCCCGCAATGCCCTCCCCACTCACTGCTCGCCCCTCGCGCTGTCCCGCCCCGTCCCGTCACGAGCGCATCAGCAGCCGCGCGCGCGGCCGCACACGTGCAGCTTCCCGCGCACGTGCAGCCTCGTCGCCCGCTCGCTGGTCGTGAGCGCCAGTGCCAGCGCCAGCGACCGTCGCCAGCGTTAGCGCCAGCGCTAGCGCCAACGACGGCCGCCTGCGCCAGCGACGTGTGTCAACACCAGCGCCAGCGACTGCGCCAGCCTACTCGTCAGCGCGCAAGGGAGCCCGCCAACGGCCCTGCCAGCGGTCCGCCGATGCGCCTCCGGACCCGCCAGCGCGCCAGCAGACCCGCTAGGGACGTGGTGTGGGGCGGTTGGCCGCCGTGAGCTCCCAGCAGCAACACCCGCGCCCTGCCACGCCTCACCCGCGACATCTGCTTTGGGGGGGGGATGTGGCGGGGCCGGGGGGCGAAGGTAAAAGGGTGGCGTGAGTTGGCTGGCAGCACCAGCACCCCCGCCCATCCTCTCTTCCCTTGCCGCCCATGCTGCAGTGGGGGGGAGGGGGAAGGGGTGTGGGGGTGGCGGGTATGACCAGAGCCGCCCCTCCTCTCTCCTCTCCTCCAGCTGCCTCTCTTCACCTTTCCTCCTCCTATCTCCTCTCCTCCAGCCGCACCTCCTCCCTCTACCTTCCGTGGCACCATCTCCTCCTCCTATCTCCTCTCCTCCATCCGCCTCTCCTCCGCTCTCCTCCTGTGCACCACCAGCAGCTTCCTCCTCCTCACCAACAGTTGTGTTTGCTCGTAGATGGCGGGCGACCAGCATCCTTCGCCCTCCAACTATCCCAGCCCTCCTCCGCGCTCTCCGCGCCCTCCTCCGTTCTGGCGTTCACAGGTGCTGCCGGTCAGCAACCGCTGTTTCTGTGCATATCCCAGCTACAAGCAACTGCTCTCCAGGCGACCTGGTGCCAGACACCACTAGCTATAGCCATAGGCAATTACGGGGGTGTGTTAATTGATATTGCATATCTTATACCTGTCTATAGCTTGCTAGTGTATTAGTTTAGTTATTACCATCAACTGCTGGTGGTGTACCCTCTAAAAAAAAAAAAAAAATGTCAGAGGTCCACTGGTGATCCCCGATTGATCCTAAAGAAGGGTTACAGGCATGTTGGCTTGGGGGGTTATGGGCGCACTGACCCGTCACTTAACAAGCCCTTTTATCCCAATGGTCTAGTGGTTTGGATTCTGACATGCTATCAGAGCGAAGGTCTCGAGTTCGAATCCAAGTGTGTGCACTTCAGGCATCCCAGTGCGGGGGGGTGTCAGAGATCCACTGGTGATCCCCGATTGATCCTAGGGAAGGGTTACAGGCTCGTTGTCCTGGGGGGTTATGGGCGCACTGACAAACTACTTAACAAGCCCTTTTATCCCAATGGTCTAGTGGTTGGGATTCTGATATTGTGACTGTTTGTTCACCTTGCTTGCTTTAATGCCCCTCACTTAGCCTATGGGGGTGTGTTAAATGTTGAACATTGATATGATAGGCTATAGTGAGTTGCACTCTAGGGGGTACAGCTTCTAGGGTTGCTCATTTGTACCCCATTCGTTTCTATTCCAATCATTCCGTTGTTCGCTAACTTTGAGACTATCGTACCGGTAAGCGGTTACGAGGATGTTCACCAAAATGTTGTGAGCAGAGACACCTTTCTATGCTGTAAGATGCAGCAATTTGCTAGATTTCCAGGGATGGATTGCTGAGAGGTTGAACAGAGTATGGTCTAGGTAGGGGCCAGGGCATAGGTATGGGGGTGACGGGAAAGACTAAGTTACTGCTTATAGGTGAAGATGAGTGGGTTGAAGGGATAGGAGGATCAGGGTGTAGGAAGGGAGAGTGTAGGGTATTTAAAGGGAAGGTGATGGTGCTGACAGGGCTATTGCTGACAGGTGTGACGACTTGGACTAAGGGATAGGAGGATCAGGGTGTAGGAAGGAAGAGTGTAGGGTATTTATGGGGGAGGTGATGGTGGTAACAGGGTTACTGCTGATAGGTGTGACAACTGGGACTAAGGGATAAGAGGCAGGAAGTAGGAAGAGAGAGTGTGGGGTATTTTGGGGGGAGGTGATGGTGGTGACGGTATACTGTAGACAGGTGTGAAGACTGGGACGAAGGGATAGCAGGCCAAGAAGAAGGACGAGAGATTGTAGAGATGGATGGAAGAGGAGAGGGAAGAGGAGGGGATAGGAGGGAAGAGGAGGGAAGAGGAGGGAAGAGGAGGGAAGAGGAGGGGAGAGGAGGGAAAAGGAGGGGAGAGGAGGGGAAAGGAGGGGAGAGGAGGGGAGAGGAGGGGTGGGGAGGAGAGAGGAGGGGAGCTAAGGCGAGAGGAAGGGAGAGGAGGCGAGAGGAGGGGAGAGGAGGCGAGAGGAGGGGGGAGGAGGGGAGAGGAGGCGAGAGGAGGGGGGAGGAGGGGAGAGGAGAGGAGAGGAGAGGAGGAGAAAAGATGGGAGAGGAGGGGAGAGGAGGGGAGAGGAGAGGAGAGGAGGGGAGAGGATGGGAGAAGAGGGGAGAGGAGGGGAGAGGAGAGGAGGGGAGAGGATGGGGGAAGAGAGTGAAGAGGGGAGTAAAGGAGGGGGGGAGGAGATAGAGTGAAGAGAGGGATGGAGGAGTTGGAGATGAGAAAAGCATGAGGCAGGTTCCTCACACGAGGGGGCGAGGGGAAGGGTGAGAGAGGTAGTCAGTGAGAGAGAGAAACGCGAGAAAGAAAAAACGAGGGTGAAGGCTGGGGTTGTGGGTGATTGATAAGACACATAGAAGATTGAAAAGGAGATGACAGACGTAAGGTGAGAGGGAAGGAGTTGGATTCGCAGTACGTGGAGAGCGGGGAGGAGAGGGGAGGGGGAGGAGAGGGGAGAGGGGGGAGGAGAGGGGAGGGGGGAAGAGAGGGAGGGGGTAGGAGAGGGGAGACGAGGGAGGGAGGGGGGCGGAAATGGCGGAAGGGGGTAAAGGAAGGGTAATGAGAGAGAGTGGAAGAAGGGCAGGACGGGGGTTGTGAATATGAGGGGAGAGGGAAACAAGTAAGTAGACTGACAATACCGCTGCTTCATTTGGATATGTCACTCTCTATATGGAATTTTCGAGCACATAATCTCAGTTCGTATTATTATGGAAATAACAGCGTTGTTGAAAAACGGCGAGACACACTTAACCTCGAATACGTTTGTACCTTGCATTTTTTTTTTTTTTTTTTTTGATCAAAATTGCAATGTCAGACCTATTTCGGCAGAACGCTCGCCTTGTCCTTCTCGTACTTCACGTAGAGCGCGCCAAGCCCTAGGAGAAAATACACCTGCACCGCGATCGTCGCGCCGTCGTGATACTCCAAAATGGACGATCCGGATGCGAGCTCCACCGAGACAAGAGCAGCCAATCCAATGGCTGCGAGCCGTCCGCTCAATCTCTCCGTGTACGCAGAAAATCCGAGCGAAACTGGTAGCCCGTCGGACATGGGATCCTTCAGTGGAAGAGGAGGCAGGATCTCGGCGATTTTAGCTGCCTCTGCAGCTGCTGACGTGGCGTCTGACGTGGAGGAAGCGGATGACGAGGAGGAAGCAGGCGGAGCGTCTCCGCTGGCCTTAGCTTTCCGCTCCTCCGCCTTTTTCCCCGTTCCGCTCGCGTTCTTCCGCCTTAGGCGCTCCAGACGAGCCTCGAATTCCTCGTCATCGCTGGACGCTCTGACGACGAGCCGCGAGACGCGGCTGCTGCTGACGTGTCTAGGAAGCGCCGACGCTAGACTGGTGGAAATGCGGGACGACAGCGACGACGCGGCGAGAGCGGAAGCCATGACTAGCGTCTGTGTCTGAGAATGGGGGTACTGTTGGTGGTGATGGTGATGGTGATGGTGGTAACAGCGGTAACTACGCTGCGCAGAAACACGAGCGAGCCCTCGAGTCTTAGCTACCACAAACGGCGACTACCACCTGAATGGCTTTTGCAGGAAGCCTAGAGACAACCGTTGAAATGAGCAACTCCTAGAAATTAGTGTGCAGGAAATTTCACCATTGGGAATGTCGCGCTCCCCGCCACTTTGATCAGGCAGGCGGGAGGTTGCGCGGGAGGTTGCGCAGGATGTCGCAGAAGGTTGTGCCCTGTCGTGCAGAAGGTTGGGGAAGTGGCGGGCGGAAGCTTTGCACTGCCGGGCGGACCCTTGGAAACGTCAGAGCTTGAGGCCGGGAAAGGAACACGACGTGGTAACAGACACATCATGAACACGTGTTCCGCGAGGCCCCTCAAGATCCGATGCCACGTCGCTAGGTTTCCTACCACGCGTCGCTCGGATGGTTTGCTTGAATTTTGCGTGGCAGCAAGTGAAAAATAAGCAGCCACGTTTGCAGGCTTCCACAGAAGCAGCGGAACCTGCTGACAGTGACGCTCCTATATCGCAGATTCCTAGTACCGAATTACCACAAATAACGCACTCGATAATCAAAATCTCTTGATTCTCTTTCAGATGAGTCTAATATTGATGGAAGCCATAACCATCATCCCAACATAATGGAGGCATTAGGCACTACCTAAGAACGGAATTAACAAAATAATTTCAAAATCATAGCTACAGAGTTGAAGCGGCAAGGCGATAGAAAAAGGCAAGGTCTTCAGACTTCTTCCAAATGTATGTGCGAACCGTGGCCAAGCTCATCTCCGGCTTGAGAAGCTGCCATGGAGGGAGAAAGACACAGAAAACAATACATATTATTGACCATGCGCTGGACATTAACACAGCATTAGCCTGGATGTTAGTTGATTTTTACAGATATCAAGCAAACAAGCTCACCTGATTAGATATCCCATTCTGAGGCTCACCTGATTATTGCAGAAAATCTCAACCACCACAGGAGGGGCCAGGGGTCCTACTGGCCCACCTGCTCTCCCCTTCATCCCCCCTCCGCTCTCCTCCTCTTCCTCTTGCAAGTCATCCAATCCCAGCTTCTCCCGCACATAGCTCATCACCTGCACGCACACATGAGAGGAGGAACTGGCGGATTTGTAAACATTTGTAATCAATATTCAGATTGCAAAGCGGTGATTCAAGCTTCTCCTGCACGTAGCTCATCGCCTGCAACAGAGACATCAGGAAAGAAGAGGATGATTTTTTTTTCCTCTTTCTTTCTTTTTTTCTTGCCCTTCCATGTCACGGCCTTTCCCTGTCCACAACCCACCCCTGCACTCAGCCTGTTCTGCGTCATGCCATCGCCCTCCTTCTCACTTTCTCGCACCAGAACGCCCTTCTCTTCCCCCCTGCCTCCCATCCAGCATCCACCTTACCTTGAGGATTTTGAGAATCTTGGGAGCGCTCAGCTTGTTCTGAGTCATACCCTTCCCCCATCTCGGGCTTGGGCCCTCCCTTTCCACTGCCCACCACCCACCAATGTCTATCCAGCATACCTTGAGGATTTTGAGAATCTTGGGAGCGCTCGGCTTGTTCTGAGTCATACCCTTCCTCCATCTCGGGCTTGGGCCCTCCCTTTCCACTGCCCACCACCCACCAATGTCTATCCAGCATACCTTGGGGATTTTGAGAATCTTGGGAGTGCTCAGCTTGTTCTGAGTCATACCCTTCCCCCATCTCGGGCTTGGGCCCTCCCTTTCCACTGCCCACCACCCACCAATGTCTATCCAGCATACCTTGAGGATTTTGAGAATCTTGGGAGCGCTCAGCTTGTTCTGAGTCATACCCTTCCCCCATCTCGGGCTTGGGCCCTCCGTTTCCACTGCCCACCACCCACCAATGTCTATCCAGCATAACTTGAGGATTTTGAGAATCTTGGGAGCGCTCAGCTTGTTCTGAGTCATACCCTTCCCCCATCTCGGGCTTGGGCCCTCCCTTTCCACTGCCCACCACCCACCAATGTCTATCCAGCATACCTTGAGGATTTTGAGAATCTTGGGAGCGCTCAGCTTGTTCTGAGTCATACCCTTCCCCCATCTCGGGCTTGGGCCCTCCCTTTCCACTGCCCACCACCCACCAATGTCTATCCAGCATACCTTGAGGATTTTGAGAATCTTGGGAGCGCTCAGCTTGTTCTGAGTCATACCCTTCCCCCATCTCGGGCTTGGGCCCTCCCTTTCCACTGCCCACCACCCACCAATGTCTATCCAGCATACCTTGAGGATTTTGAGAATCTTGGGAGCGCTCGGCTTGTTCTGAGTCATACCCTTCCCCCATCTCGGGCTTGGGCCCTCCCTTTCCACTGCCCACCACCCACCAATGTCTATCCAGCATACCTTGAGGATTTTGAGAATCTTGGGAGCGCTCAGCTTGTTCTGAGTCATACCCTTCCTCCATCTCGGGCTTGGACCCTCCCTTTCCACTGCCCACCACCCACCAATGTCTATCCAGCATACCTTGAGGATTTTTAGAATCTTGGGAGCGCTCAGCTTGTTCTGAGTCATACCCTTCCCCCATCTCGGGCTTGGGCCCTCCCTTTCCACTGCCCACCACCCACCAATGTCTATCCAGCATACCTTGAGGATTTTGAGAATCTTGGGAGCGCTCAGCTTGTTCTGAGTCATACCCTTCCCCCATCTCGGGCTTGGGCCCTCCGTTTCCACTGCCCACCACCCACCAATGTCTATCCAGCATAACTTGAGGATTTTGAGAATCTTGGGAGCGCTCAGCTTGTTCTGAGTCATACCCTTCCCCCATCTCGGGCTTGGGCCCTCCCTTTCCACTGCCCACCACCCACCAATGTCTATCCAGCATACCTTGAGGATTTTGAGAATCTTGGGAGCGCTCAGCTTGTTCTGAGTCATACCCTTCCCCCATCTCGGGCTTGGGCCCTCCCTTTCCACTGCCCACCACCCACCAATGTCTATCCAGCATACCTTGAGGATTTTGAGAATCTTGGGAGCGCTCGGCTTGTTCTGAGTCATACCCTTCCCCCATCTCGGGCTTGGGCCCTCCCTTTCCACTGCCCACCACCCACCAATGTCTATCCAGCATAACTTGAGGATTTTGAGAATCTTGGGATTGCTCAGCTTGTTCTGAGTCATACCCTTCCTCCATCTCGGGCTTGGACCCTCCCTTTCCACTGCCCACCACCCACCAATGTCTATCCAGCATACCTTGAGGATTTTGAGAATCTTGGGAGCGCTCAGCTTGTTCTGAGTCATACCCTTCCCCCATCTCGGGCTTGGGCCCTCCCTTTCCACTGCCCACCACCCACCAATGTCTATCCAGCATACCTTGAGGATTTTGAGAATCTTGGGAGCGCTCAGCTTGTTCTGTGTCAGAGGCCGCAGCTGTGAGCCATCCAGGGGTTGCAGGTAGAAGCTGCACCTGTGGGTTGGAGGGGGGAGAGAGGTGGGGTATAGGAGCACATACGGAAAGGAAGAGTGTTTTGGGGAAGAATAGAGGCGGGGAAGGAAGGTGGCCTTTGAAATAGCCGTAGCTGCGAGCCATCAAAGGGTTGCAGGTAGAAGCTGCACCTGTGGGGGAGAGAGGGGGGGTTGGTGGGTTGGGGGTTGGGGGGCACGATGGGAGGAAAGGGAGGTGAGCTTTAAAGTTCTTCGAACCTCCTTCGCTTGCTTCGCAATTTTTGGCTAGTCTCCTAGCAGTGAGCCATCCAACGGCTGCAAGCAGAAGCTGCAGCTATGGGGCGGGAGGGGAGGAGTAAAAGGGGGGTTGGGGGCAAAAAGGGAGGGAAAGGAGGTGAGCTTCAAAGGGCTGGGCAGTTGCGATCCATCAAGGGCTGCAGGTAGAAATGCATCTGTGGGTTTCGGGTTGGGGATGGGCGTGGCAAGCGGGGGAGTGGGAGATGGGCAGGACGATAGGTGAAAGGGAAGGAGGGAAGGCGAGGTGTTGTGTAAGGGTCACACAACTTCGGTCTACTGGTTCGAGTGTAACGAGCCAGACCAGAATAGCAGGTCGTTGCGCCGCCACGCCACGCCACACAACTTCGTTTTGAGGCGCCTCAAAACTAGTCGTTGCGCCGCCACGCCACACAACTTCGCACCGCCATGGCCCGAACTGAGGGTTCTCTGTGATGATTTTGAGGCGCCTCACAAGTCACAACCCTGCACCGCCACAGGCCCAACCGAGGACCCTCTGTGACTATAAATATGAGTCTCATCGGTTGTTGGATTTTGAGTCGACTTAGAATGAGGTGACTTTTGACTGAGTCGACTCAAAATGAGGTGACTTTTGACTGAGTCGACTCAAAATGATGTGACTTTTGACTGAGTCGACTCAAAATGAGGTGACTTTTGACTGAGTCGACGCAAAAGCCGCCACAGGCCCAACTGAGGACCCTCTGTGACTATAACTATGAGTCTCATCGGTTGTTGAGTGGGAAGCTGGGGTCCCTCTGGAGCAGTCGGTCGTTCCACACGCAATCAGCACACCACCCCGGGAGCAGCAGCGCAGCCTCACTTCTTCCTACCCACCTGAGGCAAAGTCTGGTGATTGGTTTTGTTGTATCAAGTCAGCATTTCAGGCTCTTACTTGCTAGGGTCCCGCTGGGGCAGTCGGTCGTTCCACACGCAGTCAGCACACCAGCCAGGCAGCAGCAGCCTCGCTTCCTCCCACCCCGCCCCGTCCGCTGCTAGAGTCACAACCCGCCGCCGCCACGGGCCGAACCGAGGGCCCTCTGTGATTATAGAGGGCGGGAACTGGTTGGGGAACTCGAAGGAGGGGAGTAGGCCAGATAACACGTCCTCTTCTCCCTCCTCTTCTGACGTAGATGCTGCTACTGCTCCTCCTGCTCCTGATCTTACTCCTCCTCCCGCTCCTGCTCCTTCTCCTGCTGGCCCCACTGCCCTCCCTTGTGCTTCTGCTGCTTCTGTTGCTGCTGGGATTGGTGTGGCTGCTGCTGCTGCTGCTGCTGCTGCTGGCACTGCTGCTGTGGCAGCTGCAGCAGAGGCAGACCGTCTTAACCCGGTGTGTGCATTGGAAGAGGAGGAAGAGGAGGTGGTGGTGGTGGCAGTGGTTGTGGCGGAGGAGGGATAAGAGGAGTGAGTGAGGGAGGAGGAGGGAGTGAGGGAGGCGGGTGTGTGGGAGGAGTGCACGGGAGGAAGTCTCTTCTCGTTGAGCCATGGCCATAGCAGGCCTCGTAGGGTTTGTTGACCCAGGTTCAGCTGGTGGTGGTGAGAGAGGTGAGAGGAAAAAGGTTGAGGGAACAAAGGGTGAAGGAGAGTGCGAAAAGAGCGGTCTCTTCTTGTTGAGCCAGGGCCATAGCAGGCCTCTTAGGGCTTGTTGACCCAGGTTCAGATGGTGGTGGGGGTCGTGGGAGGGAAAGCATTAGGAACTTAAGGGTTAGGGAGGGTGGACAGGAGGTTGAGGCACCTCCTTCTAAATAAGCCATGGCCAGAGCAGGCCGCTTGGAGTTTGCTGCCCCAGGTTCAACTGGCCATGGGAAAAGGAGAGCAAGGGAGAGGCGGGCAAGGGAAATTCGAGCAAGGGAAAGGGTGCACGGGAGGTCAGGGTAACTCCCCCTGTTGAGCCATGGCCAGAGCAGGCCGCTTGGAGCTTGCTGACCAAGGTTCAACTGGCCATGGGAAAAGGAGGGTAAGGGAGAGGCGAGTAGGGGAAAGTCGCTCAGCAGAGAAGCATTGGGGGCACACCAAGGGGAGTGGGGTGGGGTGGGGCGGGGTGGGGTGCAGTGCCAGCACGCACCCTACCTACGATGGCCTAAGTTTGCATACGACGTACACTCAGCGCTCTCCTCACCTTGAGGTCTTCAGATGCTCCTGGCACGTCCAAGTCAGTGGCGTAGATCTCAGCCGAGAAGCACTGCGGGCACTCCAGGTGCACAGAGAGGCAAGCGTGTGAGCTGTGCACATACCTGCACCTTGTATCCCCCACACCCCCCCCCCCCCCCCTTCCTCCCACTCCCACGCACACACACCCTCACTCACCTTCAAGTCTTCAGATGCCCCCGGCACATCCAGGTCTGTAGCGTAGATCTCAGCAGAGAAGCACTGCGGGCACTCCAGGTGCACAGAGAGGCAAGCGTGTGAGCTGTGCACATACCTGCACCTTGTATCCCCCACCCCCCCCCCCCTCTTCCTCCCACTCCCACGCACACACACCCTCACTCACCTTCCAGGCTTCAGATGCCCCCAGCACATCCAGGTCTGTAGCGTAGATCTCAGCAGAGAAGCACTGCGGGCACTCCAGGTGCACTGGGAGGCAAGAGGGTAAACCCACACCTTCTTTCTGTTTGAGGTTGATTTTGAGAATTCTCAAAATCAACCTCAAACAAACTGGGAGGCAAGAGGGTAAACCCACACCTTCTTTCCTGCACGCTCACACACACTCTCCCCCTATGCACGTTCGAGACTTGCTATACCTTTAGGTCTTCAGATGCTCCCGGCACGTCCAAGTCTGTGGCATAAATCTCAGCAGAGAAGCACTGCGGGCACTCCAGGTGCAGAGATAGGCAGCCAAAGCGGAGGTCCACTGAGAACCACGGGCTCACGCTGATCTGGTGTTGAAAGGGGTGCAAGGGGTTGAGAGGGGTTGAGAGGGGTGAGGTGGGAGGGGGGGAGGAGCAGAGAGGTGCTACGTGCTAGCCAAAGCGGAGGTCCACTGAGAACCACGGGCTCATGCTGATCTGGTGTTGAGAGGGGTAGTGAGGGGTGGAGAGGGGTGAGAGGGGGTTGAGGAAGGAAGAAGAGCGGTGCTGAAAGGTAGCCAAAGCGGAGGTCCACTGAGAACAACAGGGGGGCTCACGCTGTTCTGATGAGGGGGAGAGGTGGCCCAACGAAGGGGTTGAGTTGACTTTTGAGTCGACTCAAAGAGTCAGCTTTTGAGTCGACTCAAAAAGTCAGCTTTTGAGTCGACTCAAAGAGTCAGCTTTTGAGTCGACTCAAAAAGTCAGCTTTTGAGTCGACTCAAAAGTCCACTGAGAACAACAGGGGGGCTCGCGCTGTTCTGATGAGTGGGAGAGGTGGGCCAACGAAGGGGTTGAGTTGAGAGGGTTGAGGAGGTGAGATTGAGAAAAGCCAAATCACAGGTCCGATGGGAGTGAGCGAGCGAGTGAGTGAGAGAGTGAATGGGAGAGTGAGCGAGTGAATGACTGGGTGAGTGAGTGAGTGGGAGTGTGTGAGTGAGTGAGTGAGGGTATGTATCAAACCGTCATCATGACATACCATTTCAAAGAGCTCTTTCTCTTTTTCTTCAAATGACACCTGCACCAGACAAGGACAAAGACAGAGAAGTGCCGGTGATAAAATTCAAGAAGGAGATGGAAAACGGAACCTGGCAAAACACGACCCGACTTTGTGCTTCGTCACTTTCGAGGCGCCTAAAACAATCCTGGAGAAATAGCAGGCTTCGTGCATGGTCCCTGGTCAGCTGAATGCACCACACTACATTATCGGGCGCTGGAGCATCGTGCATTGTACCACTGGGTGCCAAAGCAGGCCATATACTGTAGCAGTATTCACTGTAACAACATGCACTGAAGCATCGCGCACTGTAGCAGCATGCACTGTAGCAAAATGCACTGTAGCAGCATGCATACACCACTCACCACCCCGTAATTGGCAACAACAGCACCCCGGGTGATCTCCCACAGCTTCACCACACCTCCCTCGTCCTAAATGGAGGGGTGAAGGGAGGGAGGATGTGTGCCGGCGTTAGGGGAAAAGAATGGGGATGGTGGGTAGGGGGAGAGTGAGTGCGTGGAAGAGAGAGAAGGAAGAGAGGCAAATGAATGTTAGAAGGTCCGCACCCACACCCACACTAACGCACACACGTACTCATTCAAGCATGCATGAGGCTCACTCACCCGGGTGGGCATGTGCCATCTGTTGTTGCGAATGGCATGGCGTGTGATGGGTGTTGGTTGTTCCAACACCAGTAAGCACTCAGACGCACGTGCACACAGGCACACAACACACATCCAACCACCCCCAATCCTTACCCGGGTGGGCACGTGCCGTCTGTTGTTGCGAATGGCATGGCGTGTGATGTGTGTTGGTTGTTCCAACACCGGTAAGCACTCAGACCCACGCGCACACAGGCACACAACACACATCCAACCACCCCCAATCCTTACCCGGGTGGGCACGTGCTGTCTGTCGTTCAGAATTGCATGGCGAGTGACGGGTGTTGGTTGTGTCAACACCAGTAAACACTCAGACCCACACGCGCACGCACACATGCACAGCACAAAAGCGCACGGAAGTTCCAAACACCCACACGCAATCTAGTTTTGAGGCGTCTCAAAACTAAACAAAAGCGCACGGAAGTTCCAAACACCCACACGCAATCCTCACCCGCGTGAGCACGTGCCGCCTGTCGTTCAGTATGGCATGGCGTGTGACGGGTGCGGTGCCAACACCGGTAAGCACACAGACCCACGAGCGCACACGCACACAAACACAAGAGCGCACAGCCACGGAAACACATGAGTCTCACCCGCGTGAGCACATGCCGCCTATCGTTCAGTATGGCATGGCGTGTGATGGGTGCGGTGCCAGGGATGGCGGCGATGGGATGGGGGAATAGGGGAACCTGGACAAGTAGGAGAGGGGGAGAGCAGAAGGGGAGAGGGGAGAAAAGCAAGACAGTCAGTCTGTCTTTAGACGGGCATGGCATGTGATGGGTGTGGTGCGTGCAACAGATGGTGGCAATGGGATGAGCGAATAGAGGAACCTGGAAAAGCGGGGGGAAGAGGAGAAATTGGAGAGGGGAGAGGAGAGTGGCTTAGTGGGAATATACGCTCAAACCCTTAAGCGTATAGCGTATACACGCTAGCGTGTGTACGCAAAACGCAATACGCTAGCTAATACGCTATACGCTATCAGAAAATTTTTCGGGCTGCCCAGGGAAAAAAATCGCTTGTATACAGAAAGATGCGGAATCTTCTGCTGAGCATTTCGCCTAAGTCGAAATGCAATTTGACGGTCTAGGGAAGCGGGAGTGGGCCTTCGAAGTTGCAGGCAGTTCAAATTTGAACATTAGATTGGTACCGCATTGGAACCCATATTATCTACGAATTCCAACCTGTCAAAAACGTCCCCCACCAAACCCCACTCACGCTACTTACCAGCCAGCAAAATTCCAGTCGTCATTTCTAGTTGGCATTCCCGCTTTCTAACAGCAGAGCTCCTTCCGATTCCTACCTACTTCTCCTTTTAGTGTCTACTCCACATCCCACCCCAATCGCCGCTCAGACTTAGGGAAATGCTACGAAAGTCTAAATGAGAATAGGGATCACCTTCTTAATCTTGAGCACGACGTTTTTTTCACCCTGCCCGGGATAGTATTTTACCTGCCCGAAAAAGCGTATTACCAAATCGACCCTTAAGCGTTTAGCGTATATACGTTAGCGTATATACGATACGCGTATATACGCTATAAGCGGATATTCCCACTAAGGAGAGTGGGGAGTGAGGCGAAAGAGGAAAGGGGAAAGAGAGAAGAGAAAGGAGACAGGGGATGAGCGCACACAGGGGATGAGCGCACACAGGGGATGAGCGCACACAGGGGATGAGCGCACACAGGGGATGAGCGCACACAGGGGATGAGCGCACACAGGGGATGAGCGCACACAGGGGATGAGCGCACACAGGGGATGAGCGCACACAGGGGATGAGCGCACACAGGGGATGAGCGCACACAGGGGATGAGCGCACACAGGGGATGAGCGCACACAGGGGATGAGCGCACACAGGGGATGAGCGCACACAGGGGATGAGCGCACACAGGGGATGAGCGCACACAGGGGATGAGCGCACACAGGGGATGAGCGCACACAGGGGATGAGCGCACACAGGAGATGAGCGCACACAGGGGATGAGCGCACACAGGGGATGATGGCATCCCAGGGGAGAAGGGGAGTGGAGAACATGGGTAAAAGAAGGAAGAAGGGCAGATGCAAGCAGGAGACCGAAAGCAAGCAGAGAAAGAGAGCATTCCACCCGACAGAGGAGGGAGTTTCTGAGGTGAATCATCTTCAGTTAACAGCGTGAAAGAGCCTTCCACACTAGCTCTAGCGGAGAGGTCAGCACTCGCACAGACGACAGAGCCATTCGGTGACATGCCTTGGCAAGCAAGAGGACAGTTGAATGCGTTGATGGTACTTTTGAGAATTCTCAAAAGCACTCGCACAGACGACAGAGCCATCCGGTGACATGCCTTTGCAAGCAAGAGGAGAGTTGAATGCGTTGATGGTACTTTTGAGAATTCTCAAAGGCACTCGCACAGACGAAAGACCCATCCGGTGACATGCCTTTGCAAACAAGAGGAGAGTTGAATGTGCCCCACCCACCAGAGAAAATGAGCTCTCCACGCTGGCTCGAGCACGAGACACCCCAAGGCTGCTGGCGATGAATGTGCTGGCAGAGAGGTCAGGACTCGCACAGAACACCGGGCCATTCGGTGAACCAGTGGAGGGTGGAGGGGAGGGAGATTGGAGTGCACTTTACTCACCAAAGAGAAAGAGCTCTCCACACTGGCTCGGGCGCGGGACACCCCAAGGCTGCTGGCGATGAATGTGCTGGCAGAGAGGTCAGGACTCGCACAGAACACCGGCCCATTCGGTGACACGCCCCCCTCCTCCTCTCCTGCTCCCGCCCCTCTTCTTGCCTCATCTCCTTCGCAGTCTGCTTGCGCTGCTGCTGCTCCAGTCACTTGCTCATCCACCCCACCCGCCACCCTCCTTGCTGCCTTCTCCCCGTCCTCCCCTATCCACGCATCCCCACCCCCCCCTGTCAAAGCAGCAGGGTCAGCAGGCCAGCACCGGACAGAGGAGGCTGAAGTGCTAACCCACATCCTGTCACAATCCAGCCGTCTCTCTATCACTCCTCCTCCTCCTCTCCTCTCACCTTCTCTTCTGTCCTCCCTTCCCCCTCTCCCCTTTCCCCCTCTCTCCCCACCAGGCTGTAACGCCAGGTGGAGCACGGGGCGATCCTCCTTGGCCAATAGGATGCTTTCCCGCGTGGCCAGATCGGTGACATAGACCTGGGAGGGTGAGGAATGAAAGGGGGAAAACAGGAGACATAGGGAGTTCAGATACCCATCAGAACAGAATGAGGGGCGATCCTCCTTGGCCAGTAGAATGCTTTCCCGTGTGGCCAGATCGGTGGCGTAGACGTGCGAATACTGGGGTGAGCAAGAAAAGAGCGGCAAGAGAGAAACAAAGAAAGAGCGGGGAGAGGAGACCCATCGAACACACACACATTCACACACCCACGTAAACAATCACCGACCCACACACATACAGACACAAACACACACACACAGCCTTTCTTCCTTTGGCCCACTCCCTCGTCAGGCCCACACTGAGTCCGTATGCACACACATGCAGGCACATACACCCAGAAACGTGCATGCACGCCCGCACACATACACACACACACACACACGCACGCACGCACACACACACACACACACACACACACACACACACACACACACACACACGCGCGCGCCCCCCCCCCCCCCCCCCCCACACACACTCGCCCAAACACACACGGCACTCACACATGCATCTCTGCCCCCGCTGTAGACACGTGTGAACTCCTCATTGGCTGCCACAGCCCACACCGAGTCTGTGTGTACTGCGTAGGAGTGCACACAGCGCTGCTGCCCCAGGTCCCACAGGCTGTGAAGGGAAGCGGGTGTGGAAACAAGGAGGGACAAACAGAAGTACGAAATAACGCGCGGAATCAGTCAGTGTGCATATTGCACTGCACATGAGTGCACCGCACAGCCCACACCGAGTCTGTGTGCACGGCGTATGAGTGCACACAGCGCTGCTGCCCCAGGTCCCACAACCTGTGGAAAAACAAGGATTGTGGCATAAAGGAGAGACACAGACAAGAGGGAAAGAATGCGCAGAAGCAGTCAGTGTGACCAGGGGTACAGCACGGAGGGGCCTTAAGCCTGAAGCTCTCCAGGATTATTGAGTTTGAAAGGAAATTGGGACTGTGTGAACAGCACAGGGAGAAGAGGTTTGTTATGAATCCGTGTGTCTGTCTTAGTTACATGCATGAGTGAGTGCATGCATCGCATAGGAGTGCACACACGACAGCACTGCTGCCCCAGCAAGCGAGAATCGAGTGAAGAGGGAAACCGAGTCAGGGGAAAAGCATACACGCAGAAACACATAAACACACGAGAAAGAGAGGTCCACACCACTGCACGTTGGGACACCCAATGCCTAATGGCTTAGTGAATAGTTTATGCAGTGCACACACGAAATGAGTGTGTGTAGGTCCTGAGAGCTCACCGGATGATTGAGTCGGAGGAGCCGGACAAGCAGAACCTGCAATGGGGCGTGAGAGGAGGGCGGGGGAGGGAGAAGATGCGCTGAGTTGAGAAAGACCGTATCTATTTGGTGGATGGTATTGTGCGCACACACACACACCCCAGATCCTTCCCCACCCACCCTGCCTCTGCTCACCAAACAGCCATCCATCTGACTCTTGAGTGGCCTCAGAAGTCACCTCTTGGACCACAAACAGCCTCCCACACACACGAACACCAAATGCCCCCCCAGGCCCCTCATCCTGCATCTGCGTTCCAGACGCATACCAACCACTCCTCTCGCGCTCTGCATCTCCTTGCCACAGAGCATGGGGCCTCCCAACATGCAAGGAGATGCAGAGCGCCTGTGTGTGCAAGGGCCCCATCACACAACACACAGGGCCCTGTGCCTGTGCGTACATTGGGCAAGGCCTCATCTCCTTCCCATAGAGCACGTGGGAGGGCCTGTGTGTGTTACCCAATGCCCAACACACAGGGCCGCCCCTCCCACACCACCAAGCCACTCACCTGCCCCTCGCATCAACAGCCACTCACCTGCCCCTCACATCAACAGCCACTCACCTGCCCCTCGCATCAACAGCCACTCACCTGCCCCTCGCATCAACAGCCACTCACCTGCCCCTCGCATCAACAGCCACTCACCTGCCCCTCGCATCAACAGCCACTCACCTGCCCCTCGCATCAACAGCCACTCACCTGCCCCTCGCATCAACAGCCACTCACCTGCCCCTCGCATCAACAGCCACTCACCTGCCCCTCGCATCAACAGCCACTCACCTGCCCCTCGCATCAACAGCCACTCACCTGCCCCTCGCATCAACAGCCACTCACCTGCCCCTCGCATCAACAGCCACTCACCTGCCCCTCGCATCAACAGCCACTCACCTGCCCCTCGCATCAACAGCCACTCACCTGCCCCTCGCATCAACAGCCACTCACCTGCCCCTCGCATCAACAGCCACTCACCTGCCCCTCGCATCAACAGCCACTCACCTGCCCCTCGCATCAACAGCCACTCACCTGCCCCTCGCATCAACAGCCACTCACCTGCCCCTCGCATCAACAGCCACTCACCTGCCCCTCGCATCAACAGCCACTCACCTGCCCCTCGCATCAACAGCCACTCACCTGCCCCTCGCATCAACAGCCACTCACCTGCCCCTCGCATCAACAGCCACTCACCTGCCCCTCGCATCAACAGCCACTCACCTGCCCCTCGCATCAACAGCCACTCACCTGCCCCTCGCATCAACAGCCACTCACCTGCCCCTCGCATCAACAGCCACTCACCTGCCCCTCGCATCAACAGCCACTCACCTGCCCCTCGCATCAACAGCCACTCACCTGCCCCTCGCATCAACAGCCACTCACCTGCCCCTCGCATCAACAGCCACTCACCTGCCCCTCGCATCAACAGCCACTCACCTGCCCCTCGCATCAACAGCCACTCACCTGCCCCTCGCATCAACAGCCACTCACCTGCCCCTCGCATCAACAGCCACTCACCTGCCCCTCGCATCAACAGCCACTCACCTGCCCCTCGCATCAACAGCCACTCACCTGCCCCTCGCATCAACAGCCACTCACCTGCCCCTCGCATCAACAGCCACTCACCTGCCCCTCGCATCAACAGCCACTCACCTGCCCCTCGCATCAACAGCCACTCACCTGCCCCTCGCATCAACAGCCACTCACCTGCCCCTCGCATCAACAGCCACTCACCTGCCCCTCGCATCAACAGCCACTCACCTGCCCCTCGCATCAACAGCCACTCACCTGCCAGTAGGATCTACAGCCAGTGCTCTAATGTTCTCCGCGTGCCCTTTCAGCTTCATCTGCTTGGTCCCCGTGCGAGGGTCCCACACGCGAACCACCTTCTCTGTGCCGCCCGAGACCACCACGCTGCCGGCACTGTTCATCGCCACAGAATACACCGAGTCCTTATGCCCTTTGGCCGGCACTGGAGAATACACCCCCACTACTGGCCCTGCTGCTGCTCCCCCCCCTGCTCCTCCTGCTCCCCCTGCCCCCCCCACTCCCCCTGCTCCCCCTGCCCCACCAGCCCCGCCTGCCCCCCCTGCTCCCCCTAGGCCTGAAGCAGCAGCCGGAGCACCAGGGGACGCGTTAGACGTGGAAGCAGGGGTGGCGGAGGAGGAGGAGGAAGGGGGAGAAGAAGAGGAAGTGGGGGGAAGGGACCCTCCTGACCAGGTGAGTGGTTGCGCTGCTGCTAAGTCCCAAATGAAAAGCTCTGAACCGAGACCAGCTGATGCCACTAGAGGGACCTGAGGGGAAGTCAGGGACAAAGGGAGGAGTGTGAGGAGAAGGAAGAAGGGAGAGGGGAGAGCGTAGAGACGAGCATATAGCAAGAACAACGACTACAGTTGCTGTGGTGCCGCAGTCCTGTTGCATTACCTTGGATCCGCATAGAGAGGGAAGAGAGAGAAGGGAGACGAACACATGGTTCTACTCACATTGCGGGCAGCAGCAAGAGCGATGCCTGTAGTCGCTGTGGTGCCGCAGTGCTGCTGCATGCATGCTGAAATGCGGTTGCAGTACCTTTGATTCGTACAGAGAGGGAGAGGGACTCACATCGCAGGCAGCAACAAGCGCGATGCCTGTAGTCGCTGTGGTGCAGCAGTGCTGCTGCATGCATGCTGAAGTGCGGTTGCAGTACCTTTGATTCGTACAGAGAGGGAGAGGGACTCACATCGCGGGCAGCAGCAAGAGCGATGCCTGTAGTCGCTGTGGTGCAGCAGTGCTGCTGCATGCATGCTGGAGTGCGGTTGCAGTACTTTTGATTCGTACAGAGAGGGAGAGGAACTCACATCACGGGCGGCAGCGAGAGCGATTACGTAGTCGCTGTGGTGCCGCAGGGTGTCGGTGCACTCGCCCCTTGGGGAAAAGGCCTTCCATGTCTGATTCGTGCACACATGAATGCACACAAGGAGGGCGTGGGGGAAAAGGGGATTGTAGGGACAGCTTAGTAGATATATAGAGAGCACACGGGTGCCACAGGGTGTCGGTGCACTCGCCCCTTGGTGAAAACGCTTTCCGTGTCTGGTGCATGCACACACGACACATGCACACAAACAGAGACACAACATGCAAAGGGGCAGGAGACAGAGTGATTATATATGGGTGCTGTGCTGCAGCCTGCAGGGTGTCGGTGCACTCGCCCTTTGGGGAGAACGCCTACCATGTCTGGTGCGTGCACACACGACACAGCACGTGGAGGGGCAGGGAACGCCAGGGACAAGCTAGGACGTTAGAAACAGGCTGGTAAGACACCGTCATTCTGCCAGTGCACGAGTGTTATGATCCACCCTTTGCCAAGGTTCAAAAATACGGTAATCGTAAATTACGGTCCGTTTTTTACGGTCCGTTTTTTATGGTAAATTTTCAAAAATACGGCCGTTTTTTTGTTAGAGAACTCTTATCACCAAGAAAAAAAAGGCAAAAACAAGGTCGAATACATTTTCGATCATGCCTACACATGCACACAAGCAAAGAGGGGATCGTCCTTGCCCTTTGCACCCTGAAGGTGGATGATTTTGAAAATTCTGAAAATCAGCCTCCATTCTGCCATTGCATGAGTGACACGATTCACCCTTTACACCCTGCATGTGGCATTTGAGTGGCTGTGTCCACTTTGACAGCGCGCTCTGAGCGACTCACCTTGAGGGATCCATCGGAGGAGCATGAGACGAGCGTGTCCGCCCCCACTAGCACCACGTCATTCACCCAGTCTGTATGCGACTCGCAATTTGTATCAATGCTCTGAGCGACTGACCTTGAGGGAGCCATCAGAGGAGCATGAGACGAGCGTGTCTGCTCCCACCAACACCACATCATTCACCCAGTCTGTATGTGACTCGAAAGTCGTCTCATACAATCCTTTTGGGGTTACCGCACCTCCGTTCCCCCTCCCGTACCGATCCTCCTCTGCAGCTCCAGGACTCGCCGAGCCTACCGAAACCCTCCACCGCTTTATGGTTCCGTCCCGGCTGCCAGTGAACACTACATCCTCGATATAAGCTTCCTCGTTATAGTCACCATCATTGCTGCTTCTGGTGTGGCCGTGGGAATGCGAGTGTGGGTGAGAGAGGGGCGATCTGGGCCCCTGCTGGTGCAGGTACCATGCTGACGTGGCAGGAGGGGCCAGGCACACACTGTTGACGCCAGCACAGTGCTGCGAGGGGGGGAGAGGAATGAGGAGAAGCAAGGGGGGAAGGAGGAGGGGCAAGGGGGAAGGGGGAGGGGCAAGGGGAAGCAGTGAGAGAGATGGGGGGGGGGATAGGAGGGGCGAGGCAGACACTGTTGACGCCAGCACAGTGCTGCGAGGGGGGGAGGGGGAGTCAGGGGATGGGAGAAGCGGGGGAACAGGGGGACAATGAGAGCTATGTGGATGATGAGAGGTAAGGGGGGATAGTGACAAGCAAAGGGAGATAATGAGAGACATGTGGAGATAATGAGAGACATGTGGAGATAATGAGAGACATGTGGAGAGATAATGAGAGGCATGTGGAGATAATGAGAGACATGTGGAGATAATGAGAGACATGTGGAGATAATGAGAGACATGTGGAGATAATGAGAGACATGTGGAGATAATGAGAGACATGTGGAGATAATGAGAGACATGTGGAGATAATGAGAGGTAAGGGGGGATAGTGAGAGGCAAAGGGGATGATGAGAGATATGTGTGGGAAAAATCAGAGGTAAGCGGGAAAAGTGGGGCAACCGACAGCAGTCCGCAGAATGCGAGCGTTGGACGATGGCAATACTCGTAACTCCATTCCGTGTTCTGATGTTCCCAACTCAGGGTGGTGTCGGCAGAGTCCGATGTGCATGACGAACGTGGCTTCTTGAAATGACACTTCTGAGTCATTTGAAATGACACTTCTGAGTCATTTGAAATGACACTTCTGAGTCATTTGAAATGACACTTCTGAGTCATTTGAAATGACACTTCTGAGTCATTTGAAATGACACTTCTGAGTCATTTGAAATGACACTTCTGAGTTGACACTTCTGTGTCACCGACACCACCTCTATTTGGTGTTCTCAACTCACGGTGGTGTCGTCAGAGTCTCGCACGACGAACGTGACTTTCCGCTCCTTGCGGGGCCTCGCCATGGCCCCTCCGCCGGTCGCCATGGTCGACATGGCTCCCGCGCTCGTCGACCGATGCATTGCCGCGGTTCAGTGCGGTTGACAGCGGTTGATTGCGTTTAACTGCGGTTGGAAAAGCTGAGAATGACTCGCAGTTAAATGTGATAAACTATGTCCAGACCCTGATCAAGGGGGATCACCAATGTCGAATAGCGAATCCCGGCGTCTGCGAATATTTATTGCTTCCTTTCAATCCCGGTTGGTCCCGGTCAAAGGAATGAGCTAGTGATCCGGAAAGAATCGGCTAAGGTTGACCTCGAATGAGTGGCTTACGGTGCGAGAAGGCCGCTGCCAATGACTATATCTAAGAGTTCTCTAACACGCATGCACTATTGAGGTCGTATCCTAAACGATCACGAATGGCCTGTTCGACGGAACGCAGAGAGCCTCGGGATTACCGACAGATTCGTGACAACAGACATCCATGTGCAATGGATACCGCGTCTCAGATTTCCATCAACGTGCCTGGGAACTCGTTGCCATCACCATCGCCCTCGCTTGAACCGAGAAACTCATGTAAGGAGTTTAGCGCAGGCCCTGTTTGGCAGGCGCTTGGTCCGGAATGAGATGGGAGTCCACTGAAACATGCAAGGGACGACTGCAGGAAGCGGTTTGCTGAATCTGTGGAAGATTGTGACTGTAACGTGGTGGAAAGGAAGAGTGGGAGCGGAGGGTGCAAAAATCAAATTGATGGTTGAATGGATTATTCTCTCTTCTTATTTCAGCCACATTATGTGCAATAACCTACCCTGGATCTTCATCATAATGCAGGCGTAATAATCTACGCGTTAATTTCCATGAAATCATGAACTCAACCAATTTCATAGTAGAAAATGCACATTTCCTATCATTAACAAATGCACAACTTTACAGCTACTTTCGCAGCACAACCTTTGAGGTGTTACACAGTACAGTTATATCGAGTCTATTCGGAGAGATTTCTTGGTGGAATTTTGCACCCCCCACCAATTCGCGGCACATACGCAAGACTCGAGAGTCGACTCAAGAGGCCCAGGCGACTTTCGCGACTTTCGCGGCGCCAGCACAGCGACTTTCTCGGCGCCACCACGGGAGCTAGTAGTAGATCATTACAGCTATGTTTACGTTCCCAATGCTTTCTTGGGCTATCCGCGGTTTAGCTGTTGCGCTGCTTCTTGCGCAAATGCAGCCGGCGCTCGGAGAGATAGGAGGAGAGAAATTTGCGGAAGATCGCCAGCGCATGGCGGAAGTGAGCGGGGGGGTGGCGGAAATGAGCCGGAATGGCGGTTATGAGCGGGAAATGACGGGAGTGAGTGGGGCCATGGCGGAGGTGAGCGGAGAAATGGCGGAGGGAATCGAGGGCATGGGGGGAAGAAGCATTAGAGCGACGCAAGGGAGTGGGGGAAGGGCAGAGACGAGCAATCTAAGCTACAATAACACTCTCTCCAATCATACTCGCGCAGGCACACGCAAACGCGCTATTCCAGGAGACGTGCTGCTGGAGCTGGGCGAAGCGGGACCCACGGGGTTCAAACGACTGCTGGGCGTCGCGGGCGTGCTGCCTGAGCTCCACCGCCGCCTGCGGCGCAGCAACGCGACCGTGCTCGCCCCCTCGGATTCCGCCCTAGCGGCCCTGCTGCCGTTGGTCCTCCCCTTGGTGCTGCAGAGACTGGAGGCCTCGGCACTACTCCCCAGTAATCGCCAGAACAATTCCGCATTTGCAAGAAAATTAAGGGCGACCGGACTAGGAGCGAGTAGAGTGGAGAATATAGCTGCACAGGAGCGAGTAAGATTTACTCAAGAGCGGTTGGATGAATCGAAGCAGGGCTCGGCCCAACAGCTAGGTTCTGCAGAAAGAAGGGAGGTCCTGAGGGAGATAGCTCTGTGCCACCTGATCCCGGCTAGGGTTTCCCTCCTGCAGTGGCACGGCGAGCATAGGTCGCTGCAGGGCACTCGCCTTAGTCTCGCATCCTCTGGGCTTAGATTCACTGTATCCAATGTGCCTGTATCGAGTATCGATCCGGGAAGTGTGCCTGTGTTGAATGGGGCTTTATCGAGAGGGGATGTGTCGAGTGTGGCTGTAACGGTGGGTGCCACTGTAGTCACGCGGCGCCTGGTAGTGTACACTGTAGAGGGAGTGCTGCTACCCTCACTGCTGGGAGGGAGTGTGAGTGTAGATAATAGTAAGAAGGAGAAGGGTGATGCAAGCAAAAGGAGGGAGAGAGGGGGTTGGGGTGAAGGAAGGATTTGGAAGGAAGATTCAAACCAAGGGTCTGATGATGCTGCAGCTCGTGACATTAAACATATTGAGCAGACTCTACAGGCATTTTTGGACAGGCAAACTTATGGTAAGACTTGAGCGTGGGCCCTGTCCCTGTCCAATTCCGGTCCCTACTGTATGATTCGTTGTTCCCTTTGTCCATATGTCCAGTCCTATAGTCTTGCCCTGTTTCTGTGCTATTTCGGGAATCTATAGCTCCTGTCATCCATTCCAGAAGTGGTCACTTGAGAATTACGTGTCTCCACAGCTCGAGTCAAACCAAGTTTCTCGACAACAACCATCAGTGGCGCGTGTCTTATGGTTCTATTGGCCTTGCTGACTTATCGAATCAGATGCAAGGTAAGCAGTTACAATTCTTATGTGTTGTCTAACATTTCAAGCCTTCCTGGTGGGCCTTTTCATTCTACTAATGTCTATTTTGGTGCCTTCTATGGTTTTTTACCTGGCCATATGATGATGCCATGTGATTGTTGATACTGGTTATTTGTATTTGAAGACCCTTCTGCGTCAAACTAAAGGCTGTATGCGAGTTCGAAAGACCAGCTAATGTATAGGCTTTGTTGATTACATTGCTTCACATAAGCTCTCATTAGCGCTTATGCTAATGGCGGAGAATACCGCACACCGCACACCCAACGAAGCTATTTGGTGGGGAAAAAAACGAATCACACGCCGCGTTCTGCAGGCGCATCAGCCTGATTCGCCTGTTCGGAACATCTCAAATGTCGAAATCTGAGATTCCAACATTTGTAACAAACGGGATTTGAAACAAACACGCGCATTCATTTATCACATCTGTACAGCTCATCCGTCGTGGCGCAAAAGGATTCCAGACGGTTCACAGCGGTTTCTAAAAATTACCGTTTTAAACCGTGTCACAACGAGAGTAATCGCTCAAAATGAGCTGTACATCAGCAATAATAAACGAACGCGCTGACCTCGCCCTTAGTACGGAGCTCCTCGCACGAAACACAAAATACACGGAACTGAACGCGATAAGAGATCCAGGGAGCGCAGACAGGGCCCGTGCTAGGATTTGGGGCACCCTGAGGCCTCAGGGCACCTTTCCGGAATCGTAAAAAATGCCCTGATTTGTCAGGGCAAATTTTCGAAGCCTTCCTGTATGTTCAGGGCTTTTTCAGAAATCAATCCTGACCTGTCAGGGCAAAAAACCCTGTGTTCAGGGTTCAGATTGGTTGGTTGACAGAGTTAAAGATGAAGAACGGGATGGGTTCGATCCCAGGACCTTATCTATCGAAAGCATCTTTCTACTGACTAGGCCACATCTGGATGGTTGGATTAGATGAATAATTATTCCAAGGTCGTTTTGCGTACGGAGACTAAAATCCCCGGGGAAAATTTCCCCAGGTACGGGACTCCCCCCCCCCCCCAACAAAAAACGCGTCAGGGCAGGCCTCTGCATTCATCCTGACGCTACAGGGAAGAACACTACAGCCATTCTGAATGTTCAGGGCATTTCATATAACAACATCCTGAGACCTCAGGGTAAAAATTTACACTATTCTGAAATGACAGGGTAAATTCAAAACTGCATCCTGAATTCAGGGTAATCAGGATGTTTTGCCCTGATAACGTGGGGCCTGAGCGCAGATACAGCCTAGAACTCCCAAATGCATTCCGTAATTCCCAATGCTAGCTTTGTTGGAGAATCGAGTTTCTGCCGCCCCAGCCCTTTGCACACAAGCAGCAGCAAGGGGGAATGTCGGCGATGAATCAGAGGCTTCGGGAAGTACTTCGAAAGTTCCACCACCAATCAGATTTCAGCCGAAGACTCGATACAGTTCAAAGCTGCCTTCAAACCGAAGTGTTGGCAGTTTCTACAGGTTTCTACACATCAGAATCAGCTATAACAGAAATATCCAGAGTTTTCTTATTCATGCACCTCATGTGGCACTCAAAGTCACTCAAGGTCCATGCAATCTAGATTGTGCCCAAGTTACCAGGGAAGTTACATTGTCTATCAGCCTAGTTTGAGCTCTCAATCTGTCTTTTTTGTGATGCCTATAGAGTTGTGCTTTAGTGGGCTTGTTAATCTTGAACATAGTGAAGTTTTACCTCATCCAGTCAATTCCAGCAGCCCTGCTAAGACTTTCCAGCCAAGTTTCCAGCCCTCCAGTAGTCACAGCTACTCTGTTTTACAAGTTGGTATCAGAGCTCATCGTTTCGATCAACCTAGCCCACCACGTTCCTAACCTAGCACCATACGAACATGGCGGGAGACAATCCATCTGGTCCTGCACTCCAGCCAGCCGGAGGAGCTTCAGAGTCAACATCAGCAGCTACTGGATTAGTGGAAGCAGTTGCACCAGGCAGTCCTTCAACAACATACTCACCACTCACCTCCTTCATGCCTAAGCTTCACCTCCCCAAGTTCAACGGCAAAGATTTTCCAACATGGGCAACTCAGTTTGAGCTCACTGCATCGCTTCTGGATCTGTGGCCTTACTACACTGGAGAAGCAGCCAAACCAGCAGCAGATGCTTCAGAAGCTGAAAAACGACTTTACGAACGACGCAACAAGGAGGCCTTCCTCTACCTACTCAATAGCATTCACGAGCAGCAGTTGAAGTCGCTCCTGCCCTGTCCTACCAAGGCAAACAGTGCAGAGGAAGCGTGGAGCCGACTGAAGACTATGCACCATTCAAAATCCGAGAGCAGCCAAGCCCAGATGTGGAGCCGCTTCATGAATCTGAAGATGGAAGAAGATGAATCAGCACAAGCCTACCTACAACGAGCTGAA